TGCAAATTTGTTTCTTTCGGAACAAACCTGAACTACCACACTTGTGTGTTGAAGACTAGATCTTTGAATGTGTATCGTCGCACAAGGTTCTTGGATTGATTATCCAGGATGACCTTAAGTGGAACGAACATATTTCGATGATTGTTACCAAAGCATCCAAGCGACTGCATATCCTACGTGTCCTACGACGGGGAGGGATTCCACCGCACGACCTGATCACAATTTATTATGCATTGATTAGATCTACATTAGAATATTGTTGTACAGTATGGCATTGTGGTCTACCTATGTATCTGTCTGAACAAGTCGAAAAAATTCAAAAACGTGCACTGAGGATTATACTGCCAGGTCGATCCTACGGTGAAGCGCACGAAATGTTGCAGTGTCCTAGGCTGGATATATATACGTCGAGGTGAACTTTGCGAAAAGACGATGAAAAATATTGCATTGGGCAGTCGTCTTTCTTCCCATCTAACTCTCACCAGTGAGAACGAACATGTGTATAATTTAAGGAATTTTAAACAATTCGCTTCTTTTAAATGTAGTACTGATAGATTTGGTAATAGTTTTTTCCCTAGCATGATTAGTGTTTTAAACAAATAATTGTTCTTAGTTATAAGTTCTTATTTAATAATCTAATGATATATTGTAATATAGTTACTTTTAGTATTGTAATTCCCATTCAAATCAATTGTAAAACACATTGTAATTCATTTTCATGCGATGATGTGTTATTAAAATACCATTATTATTATTATTATTATTATTATATCCACAAAAATCCAAGATGGCGGACATTTCATTTCTTTCGATTAAAATATTTGTCGAAGTAAGCAAGATATGAAAAAAACGGTAAAAGAGTTTTATATATGGTTTTAAATGTTCTTTCAAACGAGAAAATAAAAAAAATATATTGCCATTTCCCTTTAAGGCCATGAAAAAAACTGAATCTGAAGGACGAGTACTAGCTTATTTGAGTCCTTGAAAAATTAATGAATGTACGTTTTCCGAGAAACCGTGTGCATTTTACTTATTGGTAATATGCATAAAAAATACACGCTTCAATTTCACCTGCGTATAAACTATCGGTCTTTGAAACAGAAGATTTCCTGCATGTAGTAGGGACTTCTGTTCATGCAAAGTATAAGGGTTGGAACATTTGGAGAAATGTAGCTAGAATGTTTTCTGAATGCTTTTCGTCCCATGCAATGTGTGGGCCGCCCAAATCATGGCTTATACATGTTTTGGGATGGTGTAAAGGTTTAGTTTATAGTTCTACAGTTTAAAACAAAAAATTTAGTTAAGTTCTATTTGTCGGAATTAGGTTATAGGAATTATTCCGAATTATGTTGATGAAGTTGATGAGGACTATAGGACCACAGGAAATGAACTCAACTAACTTGGAAGATCAGCTGAAAATTAGAAGATGCATAAAAATTGGGGACACATTTGGATATAAAGTATATATACTGTATGAAAAACAAGCTTTCAAACTCTATACCTGTCGCAGGAGATCGTGTAGTAGCGGGAGAAACCCACGAGGCGTGTTTTGCTGGAGCAGAGATTTTCTCATTTTGTTACTTTTTTCTCATCAATTTCATAAATGGCTTATTTCAAGCCAACAATTTTTTAATATAATTACTGCCTTCCGAAGCAGAATACTATGCTATCCAACTTACTTCGTATTCTTTTGTTCGGAAGTACTTTAGGTTGAAAGGGGAAAAGCGTTAAGGACTTGCCCAAGTCATAAACATGCAAATTGTTAACTAGATTGTGATCAATTTGTCTCAATTGACCAGATTATTAAAGGTGGGTACAGTCCGTATGTAAACAAAACCTTTGTTTACATTTCGGTATTCAAAATATTGAACTTTATTCCACAACTATTTATATTTTTATGTTTCTACAGTATAATAAATGATCACGATACAACAATCAGGCTTTGCAAGAACATAAAATGAAACATAGACCTAACTAAAGTGTTTCTATCACAACAGGAGACTCCTATGTGCGCATGCGCAGACCCGAATGTATCCTATCTTTAAGGTATGACTAAAATGGGGGTTTTAGTTTTAGTTCGAGTTCTCTGACTAAAACAACACTATCATGGATCACTACATCGGATCGGATTGAATAGTTAGCCCCGACAATCAATTTATGCGGGTTAGATTTCAATAAAAATTTACATTTACATTATAAAGTTTTCAATTAATCCAACTGTTTTCTGGACCGTAGTTCCAACCTGCAACTGATCTCGAATTTAAAACATTTAATCTTCAAACAATGCTCTTTTGAAAGTTGAACGTGTCAGTGTTGTAACGAGTCACTTACAAGTCGAGTCACTCAAAGGTCGAGTCACGAGTCGAGTCATTTCAGTTTCTGATCGAGTCGAGTCGAGTCAGTGGCTTCACTCGAGTCGAGTCAGCGGTTTCACTTGAGTCAAGTCGAGTCATTGGTTTAAGTCGAGTCAATAGCTAGACTTAACTTGAGTCTGGGAATTTGATCAAGTCCACCCACATCCTTGTCCCCAGGGCTTCTTGGTCGCGCGCGTCCTCCCTAGGCTCTGGAACATACGGAAACGGAAGTGCAAGTAAACTTGCAGTAGTTTCTAAAGCGCATGGTCTTGAATTGGGACACTTTAGTACCCGTAACAATTTTCAAAGTGAAGTATTACGAAGAAACGAAGTATTTGCGTTGACATATGTTGATAGAATAATTTTTCCAAGCGAAAACTGCTCAACTTCTGCGAAATAGGATTTCTCTGCGAAGCCAATCAGATCTCTCGCTTTAGTCGTCTAACCCACAGCCTAATTTTCAACGAGTGACCGAGTGAAAATGGTTCTGGGGACGAGAATGGTCCACCCCACGCTTTTTGTATTGTTTCGCTATCTTAGCTTGCAGTTTGAAATTAGTAATCAAATCTACGTTTTAAGCTAATCACTTTAGTCATGTAATAACAATATCTGGGCAGCCATAGGCTGTACCAATATCACAGTTCTAGTTATATATATATTAAGTACAAACACATGAAATGTCTCATCATGCCTGCTGATCGAGTGTACGTAATATATACAACTAGCATAACTTGCAACTGGAGTCAGAATTAACAAAGAATAGACTTTAATAACCACGCTTTGTAAGTTAATTTGGAATTATATAGCACTTCATAAATACCAAAACTGAAGATATAGCCGGTCAGAATTAGCATAAGTACAAAAAATTTTGAGACTCCATTTTAAAAACTGTGGCACTAGCGAGTCTAAAAACAGAAATGTAATATAGGCATGCCCGTCAGGAATATACTGTATTCTATGCAAATGCCATATATTTTCTGATAAAGTTTCGAAGTTCTCATTGTTCACAGGGCTCATTGTTCTTCCCAAGCAATACAGTCACAATAATTTTGATGAATTTATTTTGTACAACTGTAGGACATTTCAGGTTGAGGAGAACCTATACACGGTTTTACTTCCAATGCATAAAATGTAAATGAAGCAAAGAGTAATAAAATAATATATGTTTAGTGCAGATCATTTAATGGTATAGGTTGAAAATTAACTAAATCAACACTATAATTCCAGCCACAGCACTTTGGAATAACATTGATTTGGAAACATTGGTTACTGGTGACCCATGCAATAATTTACATAATGTCACCTTAATTAAGATAATATTAATTAATAAATACAATATATAAAGTGACTAACTAATACGTTCGCGAGTTGCTAAGATGTTTTACCGATTGTTCGTTCTGTTTTTGAATTAGGTCGTTTTCACTTTTCTGAAGCAACGTTTTATAGGAGTTTATATACGTAGTTATTTACTAGTTGAGTTGGTTTTCTTTGATGTACCGCTGGATGTATACAGGTTATAAGTTATAACCGGTGAACAAATTGTAAGAGAAAACATGTCGACTAAACTCGAAAAATCTTGATCGAAAGTCTTTGAAATTGATAAAATCTTATTCGAAAACCTCCTCAATTGCAACTAGTGAATAAGTCGCTTATAAACGTCGAACTTGCAGGGGTATGTATTTGGCCTCGGGGTCAATATATTCATGTCTCGCTATTTATGAGTTAGAATCAGCGGTTAGGGTTGGGAATAGGGTAACGCCAGTATTCTAAAAGCTCACTCACACTTACACTCAATGAGTGGAGGTTCAATCTGAGCTTTTCTTGAGTGACATAGCTGTTTTTGAATAGCTGGATGGTGAGTAGTCACATAGTAAGGTACGACATTAACTCTCCAGCTATTCAAAAACAGCAATGACACTCAAGAGAAGCTCAGATTGAACCTCCACACATTGAGTGTGAGTGTGAGTGTGAGTGTGAGTGAGCTTTTAGAATACGGGCGTAAGGATTAGGGTCAACATTCATAAGTAGCGAAACATGAATCTATAACCAATATATGACTTATATCCCGCGTTCTCGGTTTATAACCTACTGTAGCTATACGTTAAAGGATTAGTGTCATACCATTGTAGCGTGGGTTGTCTTTATCTTACCCAAATTAAAATTAACAAATTATGATAAAAATACCTTGTTTCGTACTTTTGCAGTAAGAATTAGATAACATTACTGATGAGCAATAATTCTCAAAGAATGGTTTAAATATACGTTTGATCGTAGTCGGGCCATAAAATGGCTACCATGAGCAGCAAATTGACACTAACCCTTTATTAAATAAGAACGTACACGTAGTTTAGCAATTTTCAAGAATATTCAGAGTAGATTTTATCCATCTCATATCATAATCATTTAGATAAAGATGATAATTTAAGAAGAAATGTTGGATGTTTCCATCGGCATGCAGAGAACAAGCAACTAGATTCAGGCGATAAAGAATGCGACACAAACTGGAATGAAAATTTTCACGCTCAACCAAAAAGTTGTCACGACCACTACTGTCCAGAAAGATATAGTTAAAAAAGAAAGTTTTTAAATAATATGAAGGAATTGCTGCGAAAATACTCTCGTGAATATCCCGAAAGAACTTCAAACCTTTATAAAGCGCGATCTGTTTCCGTGGTAATTTTTTCATAATGTGGACTTCCGTAAGCGAAAATGAGGGTCGCCACTCGAGGTCGTGTTCACCATGTTTAACGTACGGAATAACGTGAATATGATTATCAACCAATCTTCTAACACCGTGTTTATGAATCCTTGAGAACTGTTTTTCTGCGAGAGTGACGGATATTGCTGGTGTCAAATCTATGCTGATTATCAAGTTCTTATATTTCTCACCGCACCAACAAACTGTAATATTGACACCAACTTTCGTTGTTTTAATGAATGTATGCAGAATTTTGTCGTACTTGCATAACCTGAAGCGAATATTCTTATATTTCCTCCTATCCAAGAGACAAGCAGCTTTCCATAGCAACGTTGAGATATACTTTTTTAGCTTGACGTTGGAAAGAATGTACGAGTCTTCAAGACAAAAATTTGACCACGACTCTTGATACCCCTCTTTTACGAGAAGCTTAGCTGTGGTCCACATTGGATCATTAAATTCACATTTGTCTCGCAATCCCACAAGCTCCATCAGGAAATCAAATTCATCAG